ATATATATATATATATATATATATATATATATATATATATACACACACATATTCATATTTTAGTGAAAAGATGGAATGATTACATTACGCACCCCTATGTTTATTTTGTGAATTATGTCTACTACCTCTATTTGATTTTTATTTATATAACTACTTATATAAATGCATAAGCACATTAAATTCTGCATAATTTAATTATTATGTTTATCAATTATATATAAACATATACAATTTTTAGTTTTAAATAGAATTTTTAACTATCAAGAAATTTTTATTAAATAAAAAAGTTATAAAAAATTTAATGCATATTCATTTATATACAAGAAAAACCAATTTCATTTCAATTTCCTAAAAGTAACCAATTTCTTTGAAATTATTTTTGCAGGAGATTAATCATGCTTGTGCTGGAGGACTGTGGGCAGAACTTGTTCGCAATAGAGGTTATTTCCTTAATTCTATGTTTTTCTTCGTCTTGTTTTTTCATTCCATAGATTGAAGTCAATTAGATTTCAATATACTTTAACTGATTTTTAATTTTTTCTACTAATATTATGAATTTAATTATAGGGTTTGAAGCTGGAGGCCCGAAAAATATTTATCCCTGGTCAACTATAGGAAATGAATCATTAATTTCTGTATCAATTAATCATAGCTCATGCTTTGAGCGTAATAAAGCTGCGTTACAAATGAACGTGTATTGTAATGATCACAATCCTTGTCCAAGTGGTGGCGTTGGTATTTCCAACCCTGGTTATTGGGGCATGGTAAGTAAAATTAATATATACTTCATATTCACACATCAACATATCATTTTTTTTTCTATTTTTCTCTATATAACAAAAATAAAAATGATATATATTTACAAACTCACATAATGTTATGCTTTTATTTTCATAAGAAATTGAGAAAATGTTAATAGTCTATTAACTTTTCACGTTCTAAAACTGCTACTTTCATTATCAGAATATTGAGCAAGGGAAAAGATACAAGGTGGTGTATCATATCAAATCAGAAGGAGACTTTAATATTCTACTTTCATTGTCTGGTGTTGATGTCATAGAGATGTTATCAAATATTACGTAAGTTCATATTTTTTCATAATTGTCTTTCGAGACCTACATTAACTCCAAAAAAAATAATATCAAATATATAAAATAATTCAAATTTTATCTTATAAAAGATTAAATTAAATTTAAAGTTCTTTTTAAATATAGTATTACATTTATCCAAAATTTATTTGAATAAAATTTATTATTTATTAGAATTATCGACTATACAATCATTATCGAATTAATATTAGATAATTTTATATATAAAATTTATTATTTATTAGATTTACTTTATTATCTCGGATTACTATCGGATAAACATACGTGTAGTTTGATCGAATAAACGTCAACTTAAAAATATTTGTTGTTATGGTTCAGGCAAATTTCTGAAGATGGAAAATGGAGAAGGGTGGAGACACTGGTAGAAGCAAACGCTACCAATCACTTTTCAAGTCTTCAAATAACCACAACCAAGGAAGGGACTTACCTGTTTGACCAAATCTCAGTCATGCCATTGGACACTTACATGGTTAGTAAAACAAACACATTAAATCAACAGATGCAGCTATTAAATTTTAAGAAAATAATTAGATCAATAATGATAAAGTAATCACACTTGGCACATCCCTTAATGACCCTTTGTTGATAATGTAATCTATTTTGTTTTGTTCTTGTTCTTCACATCATCAATATCTTCTCTTTAAGCAGGGTCATGGCTTCCGAAAGGATCTTTTTCAAATGGTGGCAGATTTAAAACCAAAGTTTATGAGATTTCCTGGTATATATGTTCAAATTCTATGTAATTAGATATATTGGGGTAGCAATATGTAAGACTCGCTTAAAAATTCTGAAATCTAATTAAATCTATTTATCCTTGTCCATTGCATTAAATAGGTGGCACCTATGTTGAAGGTGATCATCTGCAAAACAGATATCAGTGGAAAGATACAATTGGACCATGGGAAGAGAGACCTGGTCACTACAATGATATCTGGAACTATTGGAGTGATGATGGAATTGGTTATTTTGAATATCTACAAGTGAGTATATATTATTCTCTTACAACTATGATTAAATTAGCCCTACTTTAGTTGAATAAATATAATGATTTAATATTTCTTGAGCAGCTAGCAGAGGACCTTGGTGCATTGCCCATATGGGTGTTCAACGCTGGTATATTGATGTTCTTCTTGCCTTAGCTCAAATTCATCCTCAACAACATATATATTTTGATTCTATCTTTCTTTTCTAACTAATAGTGTGTATGATTTAGGTTTAAGCCGTAATGAACAAATTAATAAATCAGATATAGCACCTTACGTGCAAGTATAATTTTCTTCTGACACTCGTTTCCTTTTGGTATTCATGAAAGTCTATATGCAATTTACTTTTTGTTTTGAAATCTCTGTATTAAAAGGATGCCCTTGACGGCATCGAGTTCGCTAGAGGCTCTCCTGGATCAAAGTGGGGTTCTGTTAGAGCTGGATTGGGACATCCTAAACCATTTGATTTGAGATATGTTGCCATTGGAAATGAAGATTGTGACTTTTCTAATTATCAAGGTAGACGCACTTTTATCATTCTTTCAGCACATTTATGTTTGAAACCTTCGTATGTATGTTATGTTTTCACGATTCTAAATTTATTGATTTAACGACTAAAATTTTTTATACCTTTTTTCTTTTTGCAGGAAATTACCTTATAATTCATGATGCTATAAGATCTGCCTACCCAGATATTAAAATAATCTCAAATTGTGATGCTTCTGGCGCACTATTAAACCATCAAGCTGATTTGTTTGATTTTCATGTAATAATGCGTTCTGATATATATTAATTCTTGAACTTTCATTTGTTGCTTTATATTTGGCAAGCATGCTTAATTTGTCTTTTTTTCATTTGTCAACTTATCCTTCTTAATGTTTTATTTTTGTTAGACTTACACAAACTCCAAAGACTTATTTTCTAAGTCTACTCAGTTCGATCGCACGTCACGATCTGGTCCAAAGGTATGAACTCTATCCAATTCACTTTTTATAGATTGTTCATTTATGCATAGTGTGATACGTGAATAGTCAATGTGTATGATTGTATAGGCTTTTGTGAGTGAGTATGCTGTATGGCGAGAAGATGCTGGAAATGGAAGTCTTCTAGCTGCAGTAGCTGAAGCTGCATTTCTTATTGGCCTTGAAAAGAATAGGTTTAGTTCTTTTCTCTTTTAATGTAATTTATGTTTTTTGAAGATCTTTTTTTACATTAACCATTTCTAACATTTTTTTTCCTGACGCAGTGATATTGTGGACATGGTTGCTTATGCACCACTTTTCTCAAATATAAACGACAGGAAGTAATTTTCTACCATTTATCACATATTTTATGTACCCAGAATGAACACTGAAGATTTTATAAGATGAGGTTGATCAAATTGTGTTATTTTTCAGATGGATTCCCGATGCAATTGTGTTCGACTCTTATCAGCTGTATGGAACACCCAGCTATTGGGTGCAAAAGCTTTTTGTTGAGTCTAGTGGAGCAACATTTCTTCCCTCAACACTCAACACAAATTCATCTAATCAATTAATTGCATCTGCAATTACTTGGAAAAATTCTACAGATAACAAAAATTACATAAGAATAAAGGTAAGATTCTGAGTGTTGCTAATGTGCTAAAACCTCAAACAACAAAAAAGCATGTCTTTAATTAGACTAGCTCTAATTGTTTCTTTTTTACCTTTGATCAACAAATCTATGTTTGAGTTGTTGATTTTGATTTTGCACAGGTAGTTAACTTCGGAACAGCCACAGAGACAATCGACATAGGCATAGATGGGTTCCCAGAGACACAACGATTTGGTTGTATAACGACAGTGCTTACATCAACCAATTTAATGGATGAGAATTCATTCGCACAGCCTACGAAGGTACCATTTGGTTTATTGGTACTTCTGTCCTGAAAAGTGTGTTGAATACAAAAACTAACATTAATTACTGACATTTGTTAATGAAAAAACTTGTAAAGTTGGCCAAACATGTAAAAAAAGTCGTGTGATTTATACTTTATGTTCTATTCATTTTAAATGCAGGTGGTGCCACTAAGAAGTTCGGAAGAGAATGTTGGAAGCAAGATAGAAGCAATTCTCTCACCCTATTCAGTGACATCATTGGATTTAAGTTATTAGAAGACAATTCAACACAGGGACAGTAATGTAAAACATTAAGTCCCTTCCAAAGGAGATTTGTGCCCTTTTTATATTATCAATAAATTGTAATACATGGCCTATTCCTTTCGTTTAAATTTTAAAGATGTCTAATTTTATTCCTGTTTCGGTTTGTGAGATCTAGGACAACTCCTTTTCTTGAAGTGTTTTTCTAACTCCAAATCCAGGTCAAAGTTTCTCTTTTTTTTCGTACTTGTTACTATTCGATTGAATTGGCAAGTTACCTACAAATGACACTTCGATGTTAAAATCAATAAGGATTCGATAATACTAGCAATAAATATGTATTAAATGAAACTAACATATCATAATACCTCAAATTTGTTTTGATAGACTTCGGAATAGGCTTTGAATTAACATTGGTCTAATTACGACCCAACTGGTAATGATCATACTTAAGTTTAACATAATTGTCCTTAACATTAACCATCGCTTAAGGTCCTTCGCTCGATTTTCTGAATGCTCTAAACCGACGGTTTTGAGGTGACCCAATCAGTCATACTATACAATTCTCTTTCCTCCTCTTTTTTCTAGTTTCAGAATTTTAAATAAGAAAAATATTAGTTATAAGTACAATTGCATATTAACATTGGATTAAGTTAACTGTGGATCCATAACTTATATTCAAATTATTAAAGTTATTTTTTGAGTAGTTTATGTTTCTTACATATGTTTCTTACGTCTGTATCTTACCTCGGTTTAAAAAAAGAAATGCGTTGATTACCGAAGGCCTTTTGACCGTCGGTAAAATTGATATACTGAAGGATTTCCCGACGGTCAATTAAGATGGTCATTACCAAAGGCTTTTGCCCTTCGGTATTGGGCAGAAAATTTACCAAAGGCTTTTGGCTGTCGGTATAGGCATTCACTTAATGAAATCAGAATTTGGGATTTCCCTCTTCCATTTTCCCAAATACTCTCCTCGCGAAAGCTTCCCCCAAACTTTCACTCCCAATTTGTCAGGTCCCCGCTTTCCACTCTCACATGCCCTAATCTTTGTCTCCCTCTGTCGCTCACAATCTGAAACCATCATTGCCATTGTTTCTCACTTTGTCGAGCTCTTCTTTCTTTACAACGGTGGTTTGGCAGTGTCAGGAGGTGTTGTCGCTGCGTAAGGGTTTGTGTCGCGGCATGGGCAGAGCTTCTAGTTGTCGAGGGAGGCTAATCTAGGGGATGTGTGACGAAGTGGCTTTCGCTGCGAGAGAGGGTATCGAAGGTGCTAATACACCTAGGGCTATCGCTACCGTAGAGGTAAGTTATTGCTTTTCAAATTATGTACCTTTTGGTGGTTGCCCTCTTTGTGATGCATGTATAAGTTAACCTGTATATGCGTATTGCTTTTGGTTTGCATTAGAGATTTTGTTAACACTAAATATCACTGGAAAATGATTGCAATTGTAGTGGCGCGTCGAAGGTCGAGTGAAGCGCACTCTAGGGCAAAGGTGTGGTGTTAGGAGGTTGTCTTCGCCTAGGGAGGTTGTAGCATGGAGGTAAGCTCTTTGTCTCTGAACAAAGTGAGCATTAATGTAGAATTATGGTTAAATGTTGAATAAAAATGTGGTTGCATTAGTAAAAGAATGAAATTGTATTATTAAAGTGCTTTGAGTACGTATTTTTATCATTTGGCCAGCCAGATTGGCAAAGCCAATTTTAGTAAGTATTTTTATTCATATTTGCCTTAATTACTTATGTATTTGTTGTATTTAGATGCATATAACATTGGACTTATTTTGTGGTCAAATGTAAGACGTTTCTAAGAAGACAAACATTGTTACACCTCCACAACCACAATTGTCTCCTCTCCAACAACTTGGTGCAGCGGTAGTCACAATAGGGAATAAAACTATTGAGATAGATATGCCTCCTGAACTCACATGTAAGACTGCTACTACCACTTTATTTGTATGTAATAGAGATATTTTTGAAATTGTCATTGGTAATTATCTCCTCCCTACAACAGTCCTACAACTTTGGAATTTGTAAGTAAACCTTCACAAACCATGAAAATACTATCATATTGCATTTGTGTATTTATTTTAACATTATTTGTTCATATTTAAGTTATTTGCATCACCTCTGCATTGAGAGAAGGAATGCTACTATCTATGGATTTCTTGGTCATGTTATAATTCAAAGTGTAGAAAATAAATCAAAGGAGTTGCAAGAGTACTTGATAGAAATGTTTGAAAAAGCTGGTAAAGAGGTCTATTTAGCACCTTACTTGCATAAGTAAGTACATATTTTTTGAATTCTTCATGACTAGTTTAAAGGTTTCTTTTAATTAATATTATTCTAACTTGTAGAGGTCATTGGCAATTGCTAGTTATTGTTCCTCACCGTTCTCTTATGTTCCTTGCATAAGAAAGCTAACACATTATCCATCAAAAATATATTAGAGGCGTAAGTTTTCCTTTCTATTTTGATTCCTTCCTATACTATTATTATGATGTAATAGATGTCTACCTTTTGTATAGGTCTTTGGAAGCTCATTCAAGGTTGCGGGGTGTTCCATCTGTTTCTAGGAAGAAGATGCAAATAATCACACCTAATGTAAGAGAAGTTGACCTTTGTTTTGTTATTGCTACTTTTATGAGGAATTGATTGTGTTGTTGGTTTTGTGAAAATTGGTTTTGCAAAATTGATCAAAGCTACATGGTGCAAAGGCTAGCTAGAGTATAATATGATATTTTGTGTCCTTGGTTTGAATCAGTCTTGATTATTTGTTTTTGCAGTGTCGACGTCAATTGGGCAACTATGAGTGTGAGTATTATATAATGAAACACATGCATACCATTATTTGTACAAACATTACTGAATCATGGAATAAGGTATTAGAAAACTAACTAAATACTTATCCAACTATTCATTACAATATTGTTTAACTTTATTAATTTATATGTAGATCATTCATATTAAAAGGAAATGGGCTTCTTTTATTTTAAGTGTTAGTAGAAACTTGGCTACAATTCAATAGTCTATGTACATTAATATAATATTTGGATTTAATAATATAGTTTCATGTATAATTGATGTATTAAATATTATTAGACAATTTAATGTTTGAAATGAATTCTATTTTGTTAGTTCCATTGAATTTGTTCATTTGAAGCTATATTGATTATAAATTGATTCGATGAGATGATAATACAGGAATAGATTATAATTTCTTTGGATGTCAATTGTAATAATATTTTTTCTAAAAAAACATATATTATGACGTACTAAACAATGTACGTCATAATACGTTGAATATGAAAACCACATATCTTTCGCCATATTATAACGTACCAACAAATCTACATTATAATATCTTTTTCCATCTTATGATTTACCAAAAAATCTACATTATAATATCTTTCGTCATATTATGACTGATTTCAGAAACTACATCATAATATGTTCAAGCTATTATGACGTAAATTTCTGGTACGTCATAAAATGTGCAGACTTACTATTACGCCCAAAACTATGTCTCCAGTAACTACGTCATAATACATCATTTTCGTACGTCATAAAATGTCATTTCTCCACTAGAATTATTAACTTTTATAAAGAGTTTTAACAATAACTTACATTGAATAAGCTAGTAAGATAGATATATGTTATTATTACATGAACTTTGTAATACATGTCTTGTCTGAGATATAGCCTATCATATCGTTAGCTCTATTAACTATTATATATTGAGGTTAAATATCTTTTTTAACCAAAATTCGTAATCATAAAGATATTTTAGAGATAAAAAGAATAAGCTAATAAACTTGTGTTAGTATTTTGAAGTTGTGAAAGAAATAGTTGATGGGGTAGAGAAAATTTGGATATAGTAGAATGTGAAAGTAGAAGTTAGAATAAGTGTATTTTGTAATTGTCTTAGTTCTGGTAAATGTTGTCTTACATCAAATGGTAGAGTACATGGATATTTATAGACCCATAGATTATTCTAAAACATGCTAGTCAAAACTTATGTGAAATGTTCTAGATTTTTACGTATGTAGAATGTTTTTGATTTTTTATTTCTATCTTAGGCATTTCTACAATATTTTAGAACTTTTATTACATTTTAATACTTCTATCTTAAGATTTTCTATATTCTTTTAAAATTTGCATTGCAATTTAATAAATCTTCTTAATGCAAATTCGGTAACTCCAAGCATAACGCGCAGTAGTTCAAATCTTGGTCTTGGTGACACCTTCGTAAAAATATATGAAATTTGGCTTTCTATTGGGCAGTACTCGAGTCGAATTTTTTTAGTTGTCTCTTCATCTCGATTGAAGTGATATTTAATGGCTGTGTTATGCTCTTTGATGATGGACTGGATTTTTTGCTATTGTTATTGTTGATTTGTTGTCGCAATAAATAATAGTCATTTCATCTTGTGGTTCACCCATTTCTTCAAGTATTCTTTGTAGTCATATTGTTTGACTCGTGGTTTCAACAGTTGCTACATACTCTACTTCTACTGTTGATTGTGCCATGATTGCGTTCTTCTTTGATGCCCAAGATAAAATACCTTGTCCTAGTGAGAAAGCGTATTCTGACGTACTCTTCATGTGATCCCTTGATCCTGCTCAATCACTATCTATGTAACCAATCATTCTTGAGTTAGTCATGGTTTTGTACCATATACCAAACTCCTTTGTGCCTTGTAGATATCTTAAAATTATTTTTCCTACTTCATAATGAACCTGACTTGGTTTTTGCATTAATCTTGATAGAAGACTAATACCATTCATAATGTCTGGTTGTGTGGCTGTGAGATACAGGAGACTTCCAATCAAACTCGTGTATTGTGATGCATTTGCCTCTTAAGCTCCATCATCTTTTTCTAGCTTCTTGTTTACCACCAACGGAATAGCGACAAGTTTACAATCTTTCATCTTGAAGTTCTTTAATAGAGCTTCAATATATTTCTTTTGAGAGATAAATATACCTTCTTTTTATTGTTTCACTTTTATACCTAGGAAATAGTTCATCAAGC